TTTTACGTCCCGTTGTGGCGCTTTCCATGGCGCGCCGAACATGTACACGTAGTCCATCAAGAGTCTGGATGGGCGACTTGTACATGTACTTGATTCAAGACCATTGCCGCGCTGTCCTACGTGGTATGCACCACCGCCTGCCATTTCACCGCCCAAAGAACACGCCCCTCAAGCTCAAGGCCAAGTGTGATACCTCTGCCTGGCAGTGTCCGCCAACACATCACAGCATTGGCCAGCCACTACTGGGACCGAACTTCCCTTCGTTGAGGTTGCAATTTTGCGCCATGACCTTCGTGTGATTGAAGTTTTTATACTTGCAATTTGTATTGGTTGATTCGATCCAATCGATCGGATCCGATCGGATTGGATCGGTAGTTGCACCTGTACCTAATTCCTGTCGAGAAGCTACCTCCTTGGGACAGACCGTGGCTGCACTCCGAACACTAATGAACCGACTTCACTTTTCTACTTTGGCTCTACTACATAGGCAAGATTCCACATAGGTAAAATCAATGGACGCTCAGGACGAGTCGAGCACAAACATTTCGTCGAGCGCAAACACTTCTTCGAGTGGGCATCGGCGATCTCACAGTCACAAGCGTTCCGACATTTGGTCTTTCATTCGTGAGAACGATGAAGGTTCCTATACCTGCTTGCTGTGCCCTACGGATTCAGCTTGTCGATGGTCACCACCTTTCGCCGCCATCTTAAGCGGTACCATCGTGATGAATATTCCGGAGGAGACGACGAGGCTGTAGAGGCTGCAATGAATTCAAAGCAAACGAAGTTACTTGCATTTGGTTTTGAACGTTTTGTAAAGCAACGCACTTTTGACAAAGCTGCGGCCGATGGTCAGCTCGTGGACTTGATCGTGATGAACTCACTTCCGTTCAATTTGGTGGAAAAGAAAGAGTTTCGATCATTTTGGTAAGCTTCTTGAACCCGATTACACGCCGCCAACCCGTAAAACGGTGCGCAAGAAGGTCATACAACGCTGGACATGTGAAAAGGAACTGGCTCGTCACACAATGCTCCAAGAAATTGATTCGTGTCGGGTGTCTGCCACAACCGACATGTGGACGTCGGGGGCTCAAAAAGGGTATATGGTCGTGACGTTACACTGGATCAATGACGAATGGGCGATCAAGTCCGTAGTGGTTGGATTCACACGGGTCGAGTATCCTCATAGTGGCGTCCGTCTTGCCGATCATTTAATAGATACACTGAGGGCAATGGATGAATCCCTTGTCTCGAAGCTGTGGGCGATTACCGCAGATAATGCGACTAACAATGGGACTATGGTGAGAACAATTAACGAGACACTTGCTGACGAGAAGTTTGCCAACGATCAAGCTACCGCGACTTCTACCGCGATGGGGGTGCTCATAGCTGGTGGGGAAGGCAGAAGTTCTCAGCCGAAGGTGATACAAGTTCGTTGTCTCGCTCATGTTCAACTTGCTGTGAGAGAAGGAATGAAAGCGTGCCCCTTAATGGATGATAGCGTTGGAAGAATTCGCGACATTTTGAAGAAGATATCGGACTCGCCGTCTTTGCTAGAAGCTTTGCAAGAAGTGTGTGCCGCTGTTAGCATCAAGTTTGTTTCTCCAGAACTCGATTGTGTCACAAGATGGAACAGCACTTTGACTATGCTGGCTTCAGCGCGCGAAGTACAGAAGGCGATCGAAGAACTGCTGCGTAGAATCCGCGAGCACCATGAAGGATACAGAGACTTGTCAATTGGTCATACGCATCGTCTTGCCTCCCCATTTCAGAGTCTACGTGGAGTTACTTGGCCGAGTTTACGGCGTTCTTGAAGCTGATCAAGGCGGCAACTACGATGATGTCGGGAAAAAACTACACCACGTTCGGTGTAACACTTGTGGTCTTCCACCTGATCTCGAAGCATGCGTCAAAGATAATGCAGAATGCAAAGTCGTGGTACGCGAGGGGTTTTGCGCGTGCCTTTAAATTAAAGTTGGATGAGTACCTCCCGTTGGTGAAGACTCGCGAGGCAAGGATTGCTGCCGTTCTTGATCCTCGAGCTAAGTAACACATTGCTACGATCGACGGTGGTATCGAGCAGGTCAGTCGCCTAGTTGAGAACGAATATGAATCTGTGTATCGTAGTAAATACGAACGAAGTGTGGGCATCACCGTAGCTGAGAGAACGCAGGGACAGAAAGAAGAAGACGATGACGAAGAAGCGTAATGAGTCGTTCGTATCGGAGCTAAAACGGTGGTTGGAGCACAAGGACAGATCCATGAACCTGAAGACAGGAAGTCGAGCTGTTTGCAACTGGATGAAGAATGAAGCCGCTTCATTTCCGCGGATTCAGATGATGGCGCGCGATTATTTGGCAGTAATGGCAACATCAGTCCCAAGTGAAGAGGCATTCTCTGCGTCAGGTGCAACAATTAGTTCTCGTCGTGCCAGGCTTGGAGATGATGCTGTCACAGCAATATCGGAGCTACAAGCGTTTCTGGATTTCAACAAGACATCAGGCAATGTTCACGCTCATCTTTAGTTCACTGAGCTAGTTCAGTACAGTGAACCATTGATCCCAGCAGAATCTAAAGCGTGTCGCCCTTAATGTGCGCTTTGAATGGTCTTCCACATCGGCTAGCAGTTGAGCAACGAGGGATACGTCGAATTAAGCTTGCTTGAATCGTGACTGCTTGTATTGACTTTGAGTGCGCTGCGATTTCTGGTACTGATCTGTACTGTTTAATTGGCTTTGAGTCAGTTCTGTGTCCTTGGATTGAGTTGATCTCTGCGATTCGTTGAGTTGACTCTGAGTCAGCACGTTTTCCCTTGAGGTTCCAGGCTGGGAGCAACTGAGTTGACTCTGCGTTAGCTGAGCGTCTCTACTAGAGGCTGGGACTAACTGAGTGCTCTGAGTCAATTGGGTGTCTCGAGTGTTGTTGAATTGAGACTGGGACTGCTAGAATTGAGAAATACTTAGGTGACTTTAAGTCAACGGATGCTTGAAATTCACCTGTGATTGCGACTGACTGAGCTGCGGCTGAGTGAGTTGAGAACGCTCGAATAGACCGAATTTTCAGTCCATTAACCAGCGAGTTCACAAGTTTATCCAGCTTTTGCAGTGCTCTCGAACAGTTAAGTAAATTCTCTGGATACAGCTCCGACACGTCATCCGGACTCCCTCGAATTCAGAGCACGCTAATGTAGATCCACTCGCGTACGCGTCGTTCTCGTCTCTCCGGTCGTATTCACATTCACTCTCGTAGTCCTCGTCGAAATCTTCATCATAGTAGTCTTCGATCACTGCTGACCGTAATGCAGCCATGAAGTCTTCGTCCTCGAAGATGCACGAGTCGACGTTGGTGATACACCGTACTCAGAGTCTCTTGTTCGATACTTGTCCGACGTTTTCCTCCACTTCATACAGCAACGAGCAGCCACTACAGCACACGTGACCTCATTATTGACAGTAGAATTCACGACGTAGTAGCGAAAAACGGTTGTTGCAAACTTCGCACGTCTGGCTCGGATGAAACTGCCACATGTGCATGCCCGCAAGCCGAACCGAGTGTGAGCCAATATGTCAATCTGTGCTATCTTCCGTCAAGTTCGTCCAAATCGGGTGAGTATTTACGCTACATGACCTGCATGCGCGAGATGGCCTCGATAAGTCCGCGTTAGATCCTTCAGCACGCTGCCGGGTCTGCGATAACTTCGCAACCACGCAACATTGGCTCCAAGTGATCCACGAGATCGTTTAAGTGCAACATGAAGTAATCAAGCACTAGGTTTCGTGCTGCGTCACGAATCAACACAATAAACACATGACTCGAAATCCACAAATGTACCAACTGGTCTCGATCTAAACCTCACGAGCTGACCGTCCCAATGCGTATTACACCTGCATTACGGTGTACAGCGATACTGCCTCCTCTTAGTCTTTTCACGTCACATCGGTTTCTCGGAACTCGACTTGGACGACGACGCATTCACTGACGCAATCGTCCTCGGATGAGCTGGCGCTCACCACCTTCCC